ATAATAATAATTTTAATCATAATCATAATCATGAAAATCATAATTATTATAATATCCTCGAAAAATTTACAAAAAAAATAACGAGCAAAAAACAAATTATGAATAAAGAAACAATCAGTTAGATATACATAACAAAATAGCTCAGTAAGTAGATGTATTATAACAGTTCTAACTTTACAATAATTAATAAAATAATAATGACAAAATCATACATGTTTTGTTTGTTTACAGAATGTTGTTTATTTAAGCATTTGGACCCGTCAAAAGTAGGTGGGAAAAAATAACAGTTTATATAAAAAAATAAGCGAAAATATTTTTTCTTGTCTTATTATTGATATTGCCATTTGGAGAAATCAAACTAACGCATAGTATGCTCAGCACCAACAGATCAACACGAATCCAGCAAAGAAAGATTTCACGTATCCTTTCATATAATTCTTCCATGCAGTTGTATAATAAAACCTGTAAAGTTTCGAATAATATATAAAAATATACGTTTTAATTATATTTACTTGCAGTATTTTAATACACGCATTGCCTGTATAAAAAAATTCGTAACTTCATAGTTCCTTTATTGTTGTTACTGATCCGCCGTTAAACACCTTTTTACTGATGTAATAGAGGGTGGGTCTGCGTTCTTTTTTCCAAGCAAAGCAAAGTAGTAACTCGATAATTATCAAAAGCAAAGCAATTTATAGCAAAATAGATTCCTAAAATAAAGACAACAAAAAGCACACATATTAATATTTCAAAATGATTATAGACTCAAGGCCAATGAATTAGAAACTGAAGTCTATGCTGGGTGGTCTCCGTTACATTCTATTAAGATTTCCGAGGGAACAAACTATTATTATTTATAAGACCAAAATGCTGATAACAGAGATTGTGATCAATGCAATAGTTATAAAAAAATTATGTAGCTTTCCCCATGTTTACCTGAACGTTATTCGCTCCTATAAAAACAGATACAAGGAAAAAGAATATTTTTTGCTGCAGAACAAACAAATAAACAAACAAGCAGAGATGGTAATAATAATTTTGTTTGTACATCATATTATTGGAAACTCCTATTTACAGTTTGCTTATATCAAAGACGCAGTTGGAATTACTTTCAGGTGAACAAGTTAATTAAAAAAAAAAGCGTAGTTACCGGTTGTGTCTACAAATAAAAGAAAAGAAAAGAAACAACACTTTCGACATTTTGGAATTGGGTTAAGTCACCAACCATGCTTGGATAAGCAAGATGAAGAGAATGGCATAATATTTTTAATTTTTTAAAAAGAATTCTCTTCCCTTCTTTATTGCTAGTTCTAAATGTAGCTAATTTGAATAATGATTTCAATTAAAGAGAAGAGGATAGTGCTCTAGTTTTTTATAGTGTCCATCAGCGCGAGCGCGCGTGTGGTGTGAGTGAGTGAGTGTGTGTGTGTGTGTGTGTGTGTATGTGTG